TTTAACAGTGCTTTTGTAAGGGCCTTAACAATGTAAAAAACTTGAATTAATGTATATAAAATGTCATTTCTTCCTCCATTGACTGGAAGGAGATAGTTCACTTTGCACTCAGACTATGTCTAAACTACGTGTCCATTGCAGAAGAGTAGACACACTCTTTTGGAAGCCCTGTCTTCCTTGTGCCTCGGAAGGGCTCTTCCAAAAGAGGAGGTTTTTCTGAAATTTGGCCCAGTGTAGATGGGCCAAATTTCAGAAAAGCCTCTTCCGACAAAACTATCGGAAAAAGGTACGCAAATTGCGGAGCACAATTTGAGTACCTTTTTTTCTGATAGAAAACAGCAGTCTAGACATAGCCTCAGTCTTTGGACACTTGAATTTTGTTAACATTTTTTCTCATTGAATAATTCTCTGCCTCTACTGCAAAACAAGGAGAGAGACTTTCCTTTCTCTTTCTGGACTATATTTCTCATTGGCTTGCTCCAAAATATTGAGGTTATACTTCAAAATATACTTCACAGATGTTATGTGGTTCAAGTAGAATACCCAACTCAACCACCTCTGTAGGTTTAAATTAAGAATTGCATAGCTCATATATTTTCTCTCCCTCTCAACCCCCCAATTTAGAGTGATTTAACCCTGTCCATCAGCAACAGGGCTCTGGCATTTTTGTTTTAAGAAACACATAGTATTTCTATTATATATTTCATCAGGCTGTGTAAGACCGTATTCAGTAACTCTTCTATATGAGTACATTTTGTTTCATGGAGACATGGCTGGCACATGAACAACACCTAAAATGCCTGCTGCTTATTTGTTGTTCACTTCATTAATTAAGCTCAACAAAAGGGTTGGAAAAGGCCCAGCTTTTTTGCTGTTGTTCCATTTTCAGACTGGTTGGCCAAGCCAGAACAATTGTTATCCTAATGGCTACAAAGAAGGTGATGCAGCTCTGTCTGTTCAAAGTTATTTTATTTTCACAGAATATGGTGCTGGAACAATTTTGATAGTGAGAGTACTGAGAGCCATTGAACCAAACTGCAAACCCTGTATATAATGGAATATATATAAACCCTGTATATAATGGAAACCACTTCAAGCCGGGGTACTGCATTACCTCCCACACCAGTAGTTCCAGCACTTATGGGAATAGCTATTTTATTATTTAATTCATACTTCTAACAATAGATTGATAAGCTACTTCTATAGTAAGAATTTTGTAACTATAGTTTAATTTCTGCAAAATAAATATTAGAATATTATTTCTTCAACCCTGTCATTGCTGAAGAGATGTTTTATCAAGGAAGTTTTTCTCCACACTTACTACATTGCAATAGAAACATACCTAGGGAATTACAGGGTGGCCCCACTATAAGTTGCCCCGATATACATCCGTTCCACATTAAAGTTGTTGACGTTTGTAGAAACTGATGCGTTATAAGTTCTCCCATTCTCCGCTATAAGTCGTAAGAAACACTCTCCCCAATTTGCATAAATGGAAGTCAGCCATGGGAAAAAGATTCCTCACTTTAAGTTGTTTCACTATAAGTCCAAGTTTTTTGGAATGTATCTTGGACTTACAGCGAGGACAGCCTGTACTTGACCTTTGTGGGTGTGACTACACAGCAATTGAACACCCCAGATTGGCCTGTGTCTGCTGACTTGGGCTCCTTGTGCTGCAGAGCTGTAAAATTGTATTGTACAGGTATAAGGATCCTACAATGGAGAGAGACCCAGAATCTCTGCTCCAGCCAGAGACCAAACATCAACATTGCAATTTTACAGCCCCAAAGGCCAAGCTCCACAAGCCCAAGTCAGCTAACATAAGCTAGACGTGGGTGTTTAATTGCAATATAGACATAGCCTGTGTCTGTCTAGTCACAACAAGCTAAGGGAAATCATTCTGCTGAAGATTTTTATTTGCACTATACATAAGCCTGAGCCACAGAGTTTGGATATGGATCCAATTTTTTTAAGAGCTCAGGTGTTTGAATCTGAAGTATAAGTTTGGCACACTGCAAATGCAGTAGAATGACACAATTGAGTTTGGCTGGGTTTATCATTTAGTTCAATTTCTTATTTACACAAATATGTGGGTCTTTTGTTTACCAATATATACTATAATCCCCATTATATTTTTCTGTTTCTCTATTTTCCAATGAATATGTTGTTCTGTTCTATGACTAGCTTCTTTTGTTTTCCTGTAATATTCTAGCAGCTGTTGAATTGCTATAGTACTTCAAGAAAGGGATCTGTCCATTTACATTTCAAGGAAATATCTGTGAGAAAAGTACGGGACACAATTTAATTTTACAGGACACTATCCCACTGAAAATAAGCGGCAGAACGGCTCTTGCGCAAAAGCCCCTTGTGCATAAATGGCGGCTCATTAGATTTGCATATCTTCTTGTGCAAGAATGAGCAATGTAGACATAGCCCTGTGGGATAGTGTCCTGTAAAATCCCCTTGCGCAAAAATGGTGGCTCATTTGAATATCTTCTTGCGCAAGAATGCGCAATGTAGATATAGCCCAGTTGTTTTATGGTACAATAACAACATAATGCAAGATTTTGATAGGATTGTTCCTTGGCAACATTCTTTTTTAGAATGCTACCAAACATTTCTTAGAAGCTCCTTATTAGATTAGAGCAGTGATGAGCAACCTGCGGCCCATGGGCTGCACATGGTTCATCAGGGTAAGCTACTGTCAGGCCACCAGATGTTTATGTTGCATCTGCAGGTACTGCTGCCCACTGCTCCAACTGATGGCAGTTTGTTGTTCACAGCCAATGAGAGCTGTGTGGAACTAGTGGCCAGCAAGTCCCTGTGGCCTGCGCTACTTCCCACAGCTCCCATTGGCCAGGAATGGTGAACCGCAGCCAATGGAGCTGCGGGCAGCCACACTTATGAACATAAGATAAAATGCCTGCATGGCAGCCTGCCACTAGTTTACCCTGATGAACCAGGTGCGGCCCACAGTCCACAGGTTGTCCACCTCTTGATTGGGGTAGAGCATTCAGAAATTAAAGAGAAGTCCCCCATCCACTGGTTTTACAATACTCAGTTTGCTGGTGGTAAAAACAGCCCATGGAAGCACTTTTCGATGAGGGGAGGAGGAGGAATGAGGTAGCTAAACTACATCCTCCATGCGCACCAGGGCAGTACCTTGACATTTAAAATGTTCCTTTTTCATGTTTTGTCAAAAATGCAATGTTCTACCCCCAAAAAAAATAATTTTTTTTGGATGGAAAATACACACCCTGCTCTCAAGATTTTTGCCCTTCCCCATCCCCCTTCAGTTCTCCTGTCACCTTCACTGCTTTTCACCCTTACTTCACCTGGCCCTAGCTCCTTTTCAACACTCCCCCAACTCTCCTCTTTTCCCACAGCCCCTCCTGCTCCAGTGCTGCTTCCAGCCTCCCAGAAAATCCCCCCTGCCCCTGCCAGCAAATCTCCACC